CACATTCAGAGATTCTGATTCTGTAGGCTAATTTGGGGCCTTAGAACTTAGTTTTGCAAATGCCTCAGGTAATTTTTATGCAACTTTTCATGGCCTACAGTTTGGAAATGAGGCCTACTGGTATAGCCACCAAACTATGCACTACAACCAAATCCCCTCAGACTTTAATGTGCATATGAATCACTAAGTTTCTTCTTAAATCGTGGATACAAATTCCCTAGATCTGGAATGGGACCGGCAATTCCACGTTTCTAACAAGCACCCAGTAGATACGGATACTGTTGGTCCACAGAGTCTACTTCCAATAGCAAAATGTTACTGGGAACTGATATTCACAAAGATGAAGGTATGAATGGCACCTACTGGACTAGAGAAAAGGTGCAGAGCCATGAAAAACATTTTCATAATTTGTTTACAGGACAGGGTTCCTTTGGCTTTCAAATTCAGTTAATTTTTCAATAAGCAGGCCTACATTGTTAGAAAAAAGCTTTGACAGCATGTATTTGTAAAATACTTTGAGTTGAATGGTAATCAGTTTTTCCAAACTGATTATCATGGTCTTATCAAAATTACTAAACTGTATTTCTGAGGCATGGTGAATAAAGTACTTTATTAGTTCACTAGGCTGTCATAACAGCACAGACTTGGTGGCTTAACCAACAGAAATTTATTTTCTCACATGCCAGAGGTTAGAAGTCCAAGATCAGGTATCAGTAGGTGTGGTTTCTCTGGGGCCTCTCTTCTTGGCTTGCAGATTGCTGGGTCCTCACGTCGACCCTCCTCTGTGTGTGTGCGTGACCATGGTGTCTCCTCCTCTTTTTATAAGGACACCAATCATATTGCATTAGGGCCCCATATTTAAAGTCTCATTTAACTTCAATTACCTTTTTAAGGGACCTATCTCCAAATGCAGTCACATTGGGGGTTAGAGCTTCAACATAGAAATTTTGGAGGGAAACAATTTAGTCCATAACAAGTACTTAGTAATGAACTTGAATCTAGAACAGGTTATATTTTAAATATTTTTATTGGATTTGGAGGGGCCATAAGCCCTTTATTAATACAAGAAACTTAAATTTACAATGTGTCATGGGATAAATTGTGTTCCCCTAAAATTCTTAAGTTGAGGCCCTAATCCTCAGTACCTAAGAATGTGACTATAGTTGGAGTGTCAAATTAAATAAGCAGGAGGCCATTAGCCTGAGGAGTTCCTACATGACAAGCGAGAACCTAAAATGCTATGCTAACAAAGTGAAACCTAACTTCGGTAGGAGCATAACAAACAGCCAAGTTTCAGCCCATCACAGGCTACTAACTCATCACACCGTGCATAAATAAGACAGGTGCCTAGCGGTAGCCAGGCAGGTGATTTCTCTACTTTGCTTCTGTGTCCAGCCTATAAAAAGCTCCACACACACAGGTGGCATTCTCCGAACCCAATTCATGAATGCCCGATTCATGAATTTTTCTCAGCTCAAATTAACTGCTAAATTTAATTTGTCTGAAGTTTTTCTTTTAATAGGCGATAGGCCTTTAAAAAGGTAATTAAGTTAAAATGAGGCAGTCAGTGTAGTTCCTAATCCAATCTGACTGGTATTCTTATAAAAAGAGGAAACTGGACATACAAAGAAACAACAGACTTGTGTACACACAGGGGGACGGACGATCGTGTGAAAAGGCAGCAAGAGGGCGGCTATCTGCAAGCCAAGGAGAGAGGCCTCAGAAGAAACGAATCTGGCTGGCATTTTGATCATGGACTTCCAGCCTCTACAATCACGAGAAAATAAATTTATGTTGCTTAAGCCACCCAGTCTGTGATATTTTGTTAAGAGAGCCCTCAAAAATCAGTACATACTGATTCGGTCTACAGGCAATAAAAGTAAATGGAGAACATTTTAATAAACAACCCACAGCTCTTGCCTTTTTTCAGACTCAGTAAACCAGTAAACCATACTGTATACATCAATTTCACATCTCATGATGAAAAATTCCTAAATATAAGACCAAATGCTGTTGAATAAACTTAACATAAATTATTACATTCTGAACACAAGCCAAAGAACAGACCACTCAGAAAGTAATTTCAAGTTGTTTCCCTCCCTAAAAAGCCCAGAGTTTCAAATTGTCATTAGCTGAGAACTAAACAGTTCAAGTTGGTAAGAAATTTTAAATATTCATTAAAATAGGAATATAATTACAATTAATTAAAGGTCAGAGGGCTTCTGACATTCAAAAATAAGACTTACCTTTGTTTTGGGTTCTAGAATTTTCACTCCATAAATTGATATTTGCAACTCAACTTTAGGAATTTTCTGGCCTTCAGATTTTTTGATATGTCTTGCAAACTACAAATGAAAAATTATTCACAAAACTATAATACCGTTTCTATGGAGAACGAACACAAACAAATAAATATTTGGAGTTTGTACTCAATGTCAGACTTTCATTAGGTGAATTATTGCCCATTATAAAGTATGTTAT